AGTGAGAGAACAATAAGAAGCCGAGACATTGGGAAGTATCCAAGCATTTGGTTCAAAGATATTATTATAGGAGTGACGAGTGTGTCACTAAGTTCTGTAGGGGATAATGTCACAGGCCACGCATTTGGTTCTGAGATATTATTATAGGAGTCCACCAAAGAGGTTGAATTTGAAGTATTGGGCTTGCCAAGACCACCAGACTTGGCCCATCACTTGGAGAATGCTAGAGAGCATGTTCACATTAGCCGTGAAAATATGGAAAGTGGCATTATATCAGAAGATGATCACAGGTGCTCGGTAAATATGGAAAGAAACAACAAATCAAAGAAGATTGGGGAGGATTCTTACCATATCTAATGTGAACACCTATCGAAGGAAAGATTCCTATTAATTGATGTGATTAGTAAGGAGATGATCAACTTTCCTTAGATTTGGGGATTTTGTATTAAATAGGGTTGATCTTAACCGTTGATGTAAATTAATCCTAGCCATTGATTATGAGGGAGCTTAAGTATAAATAGAGAGCCTAAGTATAAATAGAGAGCCTATCTTCCTCATTTTTATCATCTCATATCTCATACCTTGTAATTCATTATTCTGTTCTCATTTGAGATAGTAATAAAGCTCAGAGGTATGTCCCTTTCTGTTGTTATAGTTCTCTTTGTGCTAGTAGCATCTCTAGGTGGCTAAGAGCAACCCCTATGGTGTTTACACTTCCACACGAGTGTTCAACTTTGGTGGCCTGAGTGGCCATATTGTGTTAAAGCTACTGCATCCGTCGAAGCCTTAAGGGCTTGGGCCAGCCCTTGTTGAGTTTGTGTTCTCACAAGGCGTGGTGTAAGGCTCACTTAGGCACAGAACCAACGAAGTACCGTCAAAGACTATCTAAGGCCGCACATTTCAGAGGTCCAAGGGCGTGAGAACCGCACGTTTTCGAGCTAGAGTCTCTAGGGACATAACAATAACATTAAAAAGAACCTTTTATCTATGTCTCAGTTAGCTCACTTGTGAGGGATTATACCGGATATTGTATATTGAAGACATCTTGTATGCTAAGGCTCATCTCAATCCTGTGATTCATTATTTTTAAGGCATCAACGTCTAGGGCATCCAACAATAAATATTCTTAACACTATTTTACATTCTTGTAATATAGTTGTCAATGATAATAAAATGCTACATGTGTTCGTTGTGCGTACAAGGGAAGACACATAAGCTTTCTTTTTCATTATCTACAACTACATATGATTCTCCATTTTAACTAGTTGTTTCATATGTATGGGGGCCAACTCATTTAGTTTTTTATGGTTTCTTCTATTATGTTTTTAGCAGACATACATGATTGTACTTGATCAAACATAAGTCCGATGTTCTTTAATGTTTTATTAATTTTCATAAGATGGTGGAAGTTCAGTTTGGACAGAAAATTAAAGTTTATAAACAGAAGGTGGTGGAGAGTAACAAGCTATAGCAAATTGGCTCGTTGAGAATGGGATTCAGCATCACATTACCTGCCCAAGCACATTTGAACAAAATGGAAAGGCTGACATAAACATCGACATGTTGTTCAAATGAGGTTAACTTTGTTGGCTCAAGATTCTTTACCTTTGAAATTTTGGAGTTATGCTTTTACCACTATTGTGTTCTTAATAAACAGGTTGCCTACTGGTGTGCTAAAGGGAAAACATCATATGAAGCCTTGTTTAATCAACAACTAGATTATTCGTTGGCTCGAGTTTTTGGTTGTGTATGTTATCCGCTGTTGCGACCCTTCAATCGTCACAAGCTTTTTTTTTTTTATCTAAACAATGTGTGTTTTGGGATGTAGTTCGTTTCATAAAGGGTACAAATGTTTGGATGAAACTGGTACGGATTTTTATTCCTTGTAATGTTGTTTTTTATGCTAGTAATGTTTTTATTCGCAGCTAAAAATATTACTTTCAGGAGTGCTGCAAGCACATATGATGTGCTTCTGAGTGAAGATTGTTCAATGGGTGTGTCGTTAGTTGTGACATCTTCGAGGTTTTTGGAAATTCTTATGATGCGACATGAGTCTTCAACTAGTAAACTACAACCTTCAACAGAGTTAGCAAGTCAATAGTAGGAAAATGGTAATATGACTCAAATTTCTAATCCAGTTAAAAACTAGCAGGTTCGCGCACTAAATGAGGAACATGAACAAATGGACAATTATATTGCTAATAGTGGTTTTAGTCCAAGACTAAGGATAGATTCTCAAACTATAATTGTTGCTCGTACTTTGAACTCCACGTCAACACAAGATCCAACTACAAATGGTGTGTTCCCGAGAATACAACCATGTTTATTTCGTAGTGGTTTACAATCAGACAGTTTCAGATGGTCAATGTGCTAATTCAAGTGAACAATATGTTAGATAGCCCCAAATGATGCATTGGATTTTATTTTTCTTTGACACGAGAAAGTTTGTTGTAGTAATATGAATTGCTACACTTTCTTAAGTGACGCAATTGGAATGATAAGGTACAGAGCAAGACCCGGGACTTGGCCACTAGATGAGCCATTAGATCTTCTACCCCAATTTTTCTTTTTAAATATCATATGCATTTTGAAAAAATTAGTGTCTTGTTTAAAAAAATTACCTTTAAATGATCATGAAAGTCTGGTGACCTGGGATTAATCATATTACATATTTACCAGGAGTTTTATGTGGGGTTCACTGATGTGTAGGAGGACCCTTACAATGTTGGTTTTTCTCTTGGTTCTTACTGTTAGCATCCTTTGCAGGTTAAATGGAGTTATTTGCATTGCCTCCCAACAATAACATGAAAAATTTGCAAAATTTTAGCAAAGATCCCTCTAGACTGACATATTGTATCATTTTGATGTGGTTTTACTTGCAGTATCTTCCATTCCCATGGTCTGATTCTTGTAAAAAAAATTTCTTTGGTTGCAGTTTTTACCAATGATACTTGCAGCAGTGAACCCAGTAATTGATGTCAACCTTGATAATATATTAACATCAGAGGTAAGTTTGAGCACTTTTGCATTTTATGTGTAAGCCAAAGTCGGAAATCGAAAGCTTTTCTGGTGATTCTTCCCATTCTTGTTTCTAGTAGCTCTGCAATGTTGCCTTTTATAACTTTGGTGGGAATTAAGCTACTTCTGTATTCCTCTGGAGCACCTTTATGGAAGGAGTTTCATGAAAAATTCTTTTTCATTCGAGGATTGTTCGTTATGAGCTTGTAATGTAGATCGGTAAAGCCCAACCGGTATACACTTTATTTTATGGCTTCTTCCACTGGATTCCTACCCATTTTCTTAGAAGACTGATCCTCATTATTATTTAGTGGACAGTTGATCATGTCTGGACCACCAACTTCCTTCTACCAATTCATTAATGTTTGAATGGGAACAATGGCTGCCAGTCAGCTGAATGAAGGTGTATCATTGCTATGGAGGATCAGAATGGTGGGTCCATACATGAAGGTCCATGATTGCAAGAAATTATTGAAATTCATGGGTCTCATACGACATGCAATGCTGCTTAGCAGAACATGTTACCCTCTTACTACATATTGTCATGTAAATTGATAATTAGAGAAGATAATAAAGTAACCATGCAAGATTATGTTAGAAATAAGTACCTATACGACATGCTATGCTGCTTAGCAGAACATGTTACCCTCTGTAGTGAAATGACATATTGTTATGAAAATTGATAATTAGAGAAGATGATAAATTAACCATGCAGTAGATTATGTTAGGAATAAGTACCTATACAATGTTTCAGTTACACAGTAGTCCATCAAATCTCTCTTCCGATGACAGGATAATAGCTGTTGATTTTGTTACCTGAAAGCTTCTACTAACATGGCTGACCATCTTTTAACATGTGTAGAGTGGATCTCCAATGGACAGCAACTTCCTCAGCTTGGTTATGCCTGTGATGTGGCCTGAGGTTCTAGGCAATGGACACAGACAACCATATCAACACCAATGGCATTTTGATGCACTTTAGCAGCCTGTTTGGGGAAGAGAAGAAGTCTGCCATAATTACATTACTCCAGAGAACTCACTTTTAACTTACGACTCCTCGGCAAATTCAGGTACATTGCTTTCGAACTACTATGATCAGTAAATATGCAGACAACTGTGTAACATTTTGAACCATTGCGAACTTTCAAGTTCCAGCTTAAACTATAAATACTTGAACTACTACTTCCCTTGGTTAAAATGGCCAATGGGCAACCAACAAAATATTTGCCCATTTCATTATCTGCAGTGGCTATTATCAATTTATCATACTTACACTTGATAACTTGGGGGGAAGCAGGTTGGGAGGGGTGTCTAGTAAATTATTTGTTGTCAGCTTTGAGATGTTTGCTGCATGTAACATTTATAAAGTTTGATATTAGTCATAATTTATCGATTCATACTAATGAGTTATATATTTGTCCTAATGTCAACTGATAACAATAATTAAACATCTGTTGCAACTTCAGTGCAGCGACATTGCACGCAAATCAACTGAAGATGGAGCTATGAATTCTGAAGAAGTTTCAAGGGTTAGATTTATGGGAAAATAGTTTAAATGGTAGCTAGTATTGTATATAATATCGAATATTAGAAACTATGAGGAAGTAGAGGAGAGGCCTCACCATTTATAACTAGGTTTCATGACTGGATTGAATATATCTTGTACCATATAAATACTATTACTAACTCGGCCGTTCAGTCTAATACTTGGGTCATGAGGTTGATTGATTCATGTTGTAAAATCATAGAACAAACTATGATTAAGAAGCTTTTATTAGTTACGTTTTTGTTTTCTAATGTTGTTGAATTGTTAGTTTCCATCATTGCACATATTGAAGAACTCTATAAGGGAGATGGAGATGGCCTAATAATAAATTTGATAGGTTCAACTTGAATATAATTTTTTTATTAGTTTGGGATGTTTACAAGATATCGTCTGTTCAAATTTTTTCTACTGCACACATACTTTATAGGCTCAACTACTTGAATATAGAATTATATATATATAAAAAAGAAGAAGAAGCATTACAAGGTAATCATGTCGATGTTCCCATCAAACCAGCATAAAATAAAGACATACAAATTGGGGCGAACGTCATGTTACGCCAACCTACAAGGAATACAAACTTTCCTTACACTGCAACGATGTCCTCCCTATCATGGACTTTGCAGCTCTTTTATATCAATCAAGGGGACGCATGATGATGAGACAAAGCACCCAATTTACATTAACCTTCATTATGATTGAGCTGATGACACAAATGCGTAGGAGAAACATCGTATTTCATTACACAAATCTCCACCTTCATCCTCGACACTTTAAATCTTATCAAGCTTCTCGGTCCTGACTACAGGGTTGGCTTTAGCAATAGCATCTCGAGCGGCGGTCCTGTAGTCGAAAGGACAGTTGTGTTTGTCGGAGTACCGATGAGCTGCGCAGAAGGTGTTTCCACACCTGCAGTTAAATCCTGTCAAACCGACACGCTTGTGACACGCAGTACACCTGTTGGGACCCTCTTTTGTTTTCATCCCATCAAATTTCTTAAGGGATGGATCGATGGATGATTCAATTTTTGACTCGAAATTTCCGGATTGTACAGCCAAAGCAGGTGCTATAGATGGTTCGTTATCATTCCCACTAGAGCTGCCACTAACAATGCTTCCAATGGATGATGCTATGACTTGCACTTGCAGCTGCTTCTGCTTCAGGATCATTGCCTTGTGACACTTGGAGCACATATTCATGGTAGCTGCACTTCCAAAAAAACCACAGTTATTGATACACAGGATGGGACCTTCCGGAGATTGGCGGCCTGTCTCATCATGAGAGTCCATCTTCTCTACTCTCCTGCAACTTAACCAACCAACAGTCAATGACCCAAAATGGAGGAGGTACACAAGAACATACAAAAAAGGGGAAGAACCACAAGACATTCAACTCCTAAAGTTCCACATCAATAAATGTCAGATGGGAAAGCATGGCGCTTTATGGACATAGAAGGCATGAGCCCATATTCATGCAAATGATCAATTTACTTGATAAGAACTGGTACCTAATACAAATTATCACAATCAAAGGGGAACATCAATAATATATGTATGTATCCAACATGGGGCATGTTCAATTTATTCCAAGTTTTTTTGGAGTAATATTCCCATGCTCATGTCCAAAAATGTGGTAAAAAAATGAAGAGTTGGAACAAATCCAAGATGCAAAGAATGGAGCAAGAGAGAACATTATGAAGCTGCCAAAACAAAAGACACATACATAAATCTAATACGAAGTGTCCTTATTAACACCAGTTTAGCACGATAACAAGCTAATGGTGCTCGTAATACAGGCTCAAGAATCACTATGTTTGCAACCATAACCATAAGATTAGATCTAGTTCAGCAAAATCATATAACAAAAACCTATCTTCCATTGCTCAAAGGTAGTAATTTCCCAATCTTCGCAACAGATAAAATTATTTCAGCTATCAAGCCAAGGCTATTCCTACAAATCTTCCCTGCTAAACATTTCTCACAAACTTCATCAATTTTACGAATACGATTAGTTTCAGAAGTAAGCAGATAGTCCAGAGTCTCCCAGCTCATAATTAAAATATATAAACTGATCTTAATCCACACTAAAAACTCTCAGTAAGCAAACAAATTTCTAATTTCTCTTTACACTTCTCAAGTAAAAAAGTTCAAAACTCTTAGCAAAAACCCTAAACACCAAATTGACCCAAATCAAGCACAACCAGGTGGAAAGAACTTTAAAAAAGAGGGGAAAAGGCAGAAAACCCTTAATCCTTACCTGAAATATTAATTAGGCCGATCTTGTGAGACAGAATCGAACCCGGTGATTACTGTATCATATGCAAAACACAAAATTCAATTTTTTGATATAAAATAAAATCCATTTCTTCCCATCTAATTTCAACCAAACGAAATCATATATAAAAAGGAGGATAAGAATACCTTACTTCAATCGGAGAGGTATATAGAGACAGGCAAATATTGGGTGGATTTATATATACATATTGGGATTTGAAAAGAAAATTATGTTTCCTCCATCATATTATTTAAAACCTTTCTAAGTACAGCTTTTTGGCTGCCATGAACACATTGCCCTCCAGCAACTCCGTTTTTACACTTCCACCATTCCTTGTATTGAACGCGCCTCTCATCTCTTGGTCCATGTACTCGATTTTAGGGGAGATTATCTCCTACCCTCATTTCTATTTTAGAATATTTCTATCTCTACTTTAAAGATGAAACATTAATTCATTTAAAATATTATCTCTCTATTACCTTTAACTCTGTTTTATTCATAATATTTAATTATTATAGTATTGATTTTACAAATATAAAATAAAATATATATATTTTTAATAAATATCAAGATAAAAAATATAAATAAAACATTCATAAATAACATTACGAAAATATAAATAAATAAAAAAATTACAATTCATAATAATAATAATACAAAAAACATAAATTACATAATTACAATTCATAAAATGTTATTTGAGTTTTATTAGTATTTTTTATGTTTTTATGTTTGTTGTATTTTTATGTTTCAAAAAATTAGTATGTTTATTTATCTAATTTCAATGTATTTTTATTTATCTTACAATTTAATCTACTTGAATATATTATATTATGTTTAATTTTTATTTTATTGTGTAGAAATTACAATAAAAAACATAAAAGATAGAATAAGAGAAAATAATATAATAAATAAAAGGAAAATAAAAAGAAAATAACAAAAGATAGTAAAAAATAAAAACCAAAAATCATAAAAATAACCAAAAAATTTTGTAGCGCAACTATCGTAAAACTCTAGATGTATCGTAAAACTCGCTAAAGTAGATATCATTGTTGGCACAGTGCTGGAGTCTCCAAAGTAGAGATTATACTCTACTCCAACGCAACACTGGAGTTGCTCTAAGCGCAAATATATTCTCATTCGGTTTTTTAAATAATATAGACTCATTACAATATACTGCTTATTTAGAATTTCTTTAATTTTATTCGTACAATGAAAGCTGCTTAAATAATATTTTTTATAACTAAAATCACTTAATAAAATCCGTTTAAAACAGATTTTAGACAACATTATTTACAAAATGAATTACTTCTTTTTGAAAACAACTCTCATAAATTTAATATGAAGAAGATAGTTAGCAATCGAGAGAAAATTGAAGATTTTCATAGTGTTTTAGAATGATTGGTTGGCGAATACAATGATGGAAGTTGAGAAAATTTAGAAGAAATGAAATGGAAATTGAAGCTCAAGCTTCTAACAAATTAACCACCGTTCATGAGCTCCTGAAAAAACGAGCTCCGAAACCCATTTGTTTTAAAATTTGAGAAATTTAAAATTGAAATGAAATGAAAAAGAAGCTCGAACTCTGAAATCCCTTAGAAAAATGATCGATCTATTTGACTAAAGGATCGATCCCTTGTGCATTAAATATTATTTTTGATTGTAAGTAATGGCTATAATGACTCCCAAGTCTTCAAAATACTAGAATTGATATAGAATATATAAATTGAAGGTCCTCAAGGTCATCAAGAATAATATTGAACCAACCTACCAACATCAATGTATTCTTTTGTGCTTAATTTGTCAAATTCCTTATTGTAAACACACTCTTGAGTTAAATTGTTTATTTTGCTCAAGCATGTATTATGTGAGTGTTTTAATTGTGCAAACATATTTTGTAACACCCCAAATTTTAAGTTAGTAGTTTCAGGTTTACCCGAGAGGTAAGTGAACTGCGTGAAGGTTTCAATTAAAGTCGTTGGATCGAGTGTGGGCTTGGATGTGAATTGATCCCCATCTGTAAAAAAATGGATCCTTGTATAGTAGAAAGTTGAAGGACCAATAATGTAATTACCCTATTTTGAAAAGATGAGAAGCCTTTTATCTCTTTTCATTTTCTTATTCTCTACATTTTCTTCATTACTTCTCATTTCCCCATTCTTCTTTTCTAAGCGTCATAGCTAAGGGTAAGTTCCTTGAGCTCTTTTATGCTCACTTTAAGCTTCAAATTCGTCTCTAATATCTCCATTAACCTTGTTTTGAAGATTCAAGCATTGGGTTTCTTATTTTGCTAGAGGAAGTGATCGTTTTATCATCCAAGTCTTGGAGGAGAGTGATAGCTAGCTAAAGGAGTTTTATTTCGAGATTCTAGCATCAAGATAGTGTATTTTTAATCTTTTGTGGTGTTCAGGCTTTCATAAGAATGAAGATTTGTTAAAATTTAAGTATTTAATCATTTTTGGGTTTATGCTTGATTTATGCCATAAATGATATTTTTTATGTAAGGCATGTATTTTTATGGTACTTTATGACCCTAAGTAACTTTCCAAAGCTTTTGTACATGATTTAAGACCAAACTAAGACCTTTGGGATGATTTTTTTGTGTTTCTCGAGCCTAAGAGAGAGATTTCTGGGTAAGAGTATCGATATTAAAATAACAATACCGATACTGAGAGGTTTTCAGGTTTTCTCAATTGTTTGCTTTATTAGTAATTCTTCTTATGAAGAGGGTGTAAGCAAGGTTTTGAGGTATAAACCTTGTGTGTTGTTGTAAGGTTACACCTTATCCTCAAAGGTTAGCAAATCTAGTGGATTTGATAAATCCTTAGTGTGGATGCTAAGTTAGTGGATGTAAACTTGGTTTAGAAGTTGAACCACTGTAAAATCATTATGCAAATTTTTTTATTTTCTGGTTGCTTTCTCAAAATTTTTAAAAGGTCAATTCACCCCCTTTTGGCATATTTCGTATGATTGATGCAACTAACATAACTCAAGTGAAAAAAATCGAAGATTGACATTCTCACACTTAATTATGAGAATTTCAAAATAAAGCGTAATAAAGACATTGAAGTCCTGTCTGATTAAATTACCGGCAACATCAACAAGCTTAGCGCTTTTGGGAAATTCAACTAAATAAGAAAATTGTGAGAAAGTTTCTTAATAGTTTGTCAATTTCATGGGAATCCAAGATGACGAATATTGAAGAAGCTAAAGATCTTGAAGTTATTACTCTTGATGAACTCATTGGATCATTGCATACTCATGAGATAAGGCTTTAAAGGAAGGAAGAAGAAGAGAAATGAAATAAGAAGAAAAAAAGAAAAATATTAGGATTTTTGAAGCTCAAACGATCAACAAAAAATGTGTCAAGAGGGGGTGAATTGGCCAAATAAAAATTTTGGGAGTAGGAAAGGATAGGAAACATGCACAACAATTTATAGTGGTTTGACTTTTCAACTGAGTCTACATTCATTACCTTAGCTCCACACTAAGGATTTTCTAACAAATTCACTAATTTGTTCTTTCTTTTTCTAGGCTCAAGTGTAATCTTTTACAACTCCTGTAACAACCCGAAAAAAATATTTAAGAAATTGGGTGAAATTTGAGGATTAAATTAAAAGTTTTGAAAACTTGAATCCTGTTTTAGAGTTAAAGGAAATTCAGGGACCAAGCCCTGAATTTATCCAAGGAGTGTCGACAGAAAACTTTGTTATATACTTGTTTTCTGATTTCAAAATTAGAAAACAAAAGCTCAAATTACCTCCTCCAACACCCTCCTTTCAAACTCGATCCCGATGCTGTCCGGCCACCGATCGTCAATTTGAAACCTCCATCGTGTTAGTCGTCGAGAGGTGAACAAAACCCCGTAAACCAATCGTACTGAAACGTTGTCAAACGCCGTGAATTTCGAGTTAAATTTTTAACTTTTTTTAACAAAATCGTCGTGAAGTCAATTCATCGCCGATCGTTGCTCCGTTTTCGACACCTCCCACACCATCGTGTTCCTTGCGTCGTTCCGAGTCCACCGGTGTCCGTTGCGTCTTCGTCTTCGTCGTCGCCGGTGCGTGAGGTAGGTGAGGAAGTCGAAGTTTCCAACATGTTGAAATCGAGCTGTCCACCGTTCAAATTTTTGAATCGAGCTTGGTAAGTGTCTTGAAATTGCTTAAAAGAATTTTAGGAAAATTTTCGAGAATTTTTAGGACATCAGAAGTGGGCTCACACGCCGCCCATGCGCGTAGGGGAGCTTCAAAATGGTGGCTGGGCAGTTTTGACCAGTTTGAACCGGTTTGACCGATCCGAACCGGTTTGACCTAACCCGACCCGACCCGACCCGTTGACCCGACTCGTTGACCGTTGACTTTGACTAAAAAGTCAAATTTTTTGAAAAGTTATATTTTTTGTTTTTAACGTCCTGAGTCCGAATTCGAAGTCCGTTTTTCAAAATTCGAACCCGAAAGCCTTGAAATCGTCAGTCAACCCCGTTGACTTTGACCAAAAAGTCAATTTTTGAAAATACATATTTTATGTTTTTTCGACGTCCTGAATTCGATTCAACAGTCCGTCTGGCCAAATTCAAACTCGAAAGCCTCCAAATTATCAGTCAACCCCGAAACATGCATATATACTTAAGAGTTTTAGCTTTGAATGATTAAAGTAAGATTTGAGACTGATAAATTATTATTGTTTGAAGGTACAAGAGGCTCTCCTTATCACTCGACGGCTCGACCCAACTCCTCTTAATCCGTTAGACCGCGTGCACCAATATTCACTCGTATGACATGTAAATCTTATGATTTCATAAATTAATTATGTTACCCACCAGTAATATAGTATTGTTATGAATTAGGTTCAAAAACTGTAGTTGAGCGTAGCGAGGCCGGTACATAATAGATCTACTGTTTGAACCTATTATCGAGGTGTGTTCCCTATATATTACTTAATTGTTTTATTATTATAACATGTGGTACACTGGAATCTATGGTTAATGTTTTATTGATGCACCGAATTAATGTAATGGCTTATGCATTATGACTGCTATCTGATTTTTGGTTTGCACTGGTATATGATTACAATGATTAAGGATTTATGGAAATTATGTCACGGTGCAATTGTATTTTTGAGATACTGATTTATAAAGTACAACTCTGATCAAGCTGGAAAATTTTTATGGACCTAATATGACTCTTAGGTAGGCTCTACGGTCCTGAGATCATTCTCGGGTAGGCCCTGCAGCCCTAAGATGTGTTCTTAGGTAGGCCCCATGACCCCAAAATCTTTCTTGGGTAGGCTCTCAGGCCTTAAGATGTTCCCTTAGGTTAACTCTTTTATGAGATTTATTGCAGTATGATTTTATGA